CCACTGGTTAGACTTGCACCTCCAAACTTCAAGTTAGCAGCTGAGCCCATTAACCATTTGCACTACTCAGGGATTCCAAAAACAAGGGGTTTAGAAGTTGACTTCTCTGGAAACAAGGGTGGAGCATGAGTGGGAGGGAAGTCTGTGATTGGGAGTGTAAGTCCTCAGGCAGTGAAGGGCAGATGGTCAGAGGACAACAATGGCAAGAGGGAGCAGGTGGTCTAAATTTCAAAGACATGGGGTCCAAAGAATCTGGGGTTTTTGAAGGTGGAAGTAGGAGGAATGGTTTAGGAAGGAGGACATCCTGATGATGTGTGTAAGAGAAAAATAGCTTCCACTGGAGAAGGCTGCAAGTAAAGCTGTGTGCTTTGGGGAATGTACAGAAAATAAGGGAAGCCCTCAGAGGTGAGGTGACTATACAGTTCAAAGTGTGCTTGTGAAAGTCCCAATTCACTCCTGTTGCTCTGGATACTTTACAGTGTCCCCTTTACTCTCAAAAGTGTTCCTGTTTGGAACATAAATTATATGGTCAACTTGCTCAGCAGGGTAGTTGAGGATATTGTTGTTAGCTGTGTTGAGCAGGCACCCCCAATACATAGCAACCTCATGAACAAAAGGATCCTATCATTGTGATCCATAGGGTTTTTACTGGCTGGTTTTTTCAGAAGTAGAACACAGGCCTTTCTTCTTAGTCTGTCTTAGTCTGAAATCTCCACTGAAACCTGTTCAGCATCATAGCAACAATAAGCCTCCACTGGGTATACACCACTGCCAGAGGCAGGCAAAATCCCTGCCCTTGTGGAGTTTCTGTTCTAGGGGCAAAGGCGGACAATAAATGAGTCAGATGGATGATGGCTGCACACTGGCTGGGAATCAAGCCCAGTCTCCCTCATGGAAAGTGAGAATTCTACCACAGAACCACCATAGTCCTCAACTGAGAGATACAGCAGGTGCTAAATATTTATAGCAGGTGGATGACATGTGGATGACATGTTATGTGGCAATAATGCAGTTTCTTCTCCCTTTTGGCAAAGTAGCCCACTTCCACTCCACTCAACCAAAAGTTTCCTAAAACCTTTGAGGCTAAATCCTGAAAGCTCTGTGTTCCGCCTCCTTCTGCTCCACATAAACTTACTTCTACTCTGAGGACAAGTAAATCTTTCAGACTAGAGTCTGAAAGGATTAGAGCCTGATCAGTTAGCCCTCCTGAGGGCCAGCATTTTAAGAGATTCTTGGGGGTGAAATGACTTTACCTGAAGAATAAAGAACTAATGGTGGAATTATAGGTTCATGACAGGCAGGATTTGGATAGATTTGGGGTGGGGAGATGAAGTGGGTTCTCCACATTGAACCACAAGGTTGACCTTTATTCTTCCTCCCCATTTGGGTGAGCACATCCAGCGGAATTATGGGAAAGGAGCAACTCTGAGATTCTGGGTAAATCTTGTCCAAGAAGGAACTTACCTTGGCACTTCTATTCAAGAAACTGGTGCTAAATTTCTTGAGGTTTTCATAGGTTATCTCTTCCGAAGGCATTTTATACCTCTCGTCAGAGGTTAAATTTAGGATTTGGACGGATGGGATATCAACCTCAGTGACCCGGAAATACTCGAAGATACGTCCGTTTCTGGATTCATCAGTGTCCACAAGGATGAAAAGAATCTACCAAAACATATGAAACCCATTTCTCTGTGGATCCTTTGCCAATACAAAGAAGCAGTTGGGAAAATTTGGGAGCGCCCTAACCAAAATTCAAAACCAAACCTGTTGCCACTGAATCAACTCCAACTCATAGCAACCCCACATGTTGCAGAGTAGAACTGCTCCATAGGGTTTTCTTGGCTGTAATCTTTACAGAAGCAGATCTCCAGGACTTTCTTCTTTGGAGACATTGGGTGGGTTTGAACCTTTAAGTTAGTAGTTAAGTGTAAACCATTTGCACTACCTGGTGCATTTTAAGCCAATCTCTTTTGATATGTAAAAGAATAGCTTAAAAGTAGCACAAACGGAGAGCCATGATTGCCAAATTCAAACTCAAACCCACTGCCTTCGAGTCAGATCTGACTCAAAGCAACTGCTCCTTGGGTTTCCGAGGCAATGCCACTATGGAAGTAGATTGCCCAACCTGCCTTCCAAGGAGTGGCTGGTGGGTTTGAGCCACCAGCCTTCTGGTTAGCAGTCAAATGCCTTAGGCACTACGCCACCAGAGTAACTACAATTGCTGAAGACCTAGGAATAGAAGCTGTAAAGAGAGGAGGACCAGAGAAAACAGAAAAAGAGTCTTACCCTAGAGCTGGCATCTTGAATTCAGCTCTGGTGGCATACATAGTACCTAAGGCATTTGACTGCTAACTAGAAGGCTGGTGGTTCAAACCCACCAGCCACTCCTTGGAAGGAAGATTGGGAAATCTACTTCCGAAGAGATACCACCTCCAAAACCCAAGGAGGGGTCGCTGTGAGTTGAATCGACTTGATGGCAGTGAGTTGTTTATTTTCTTAAAAACTGTGAGAAAATAAATATTGTTTGATAAATCTACCCATTTATAGTATTTCTGTGATAGCTAGATAACTAAGACATATGCCAAAATAAATTCCAGATAGATTAAGGAGTAAATTAAAGCCATAAATTGGAAGAAAATATGACTATGTATTGATTATTATAACACAGAATAAATTTAGGGAAAATATTTGGATTGTAATCAACTTGATTACATCAAGAATCTTAAAGCTTAAAATGTAATTAACCAGGAAATATATTTCTGAGAAGTATTTCTGTGATGGAGTGCTTTGGTGGTGCAAACAGTTAACATGCTCAGCTTCAAATCAAAAGGTTGGAGGTTTGAGTTCACCCAGAAGCCTCTGGGAAGAAAGGCGTGGTGATCTACTTCCAAAACATCAGCCACTGACAACCTTATGGAGCATGGTTCTATTCTGACACATACAGGGTCATGGTGAGTCGAAGCTGATTGAATGGCAACTGGTTGATTGGTTATTTCTGTGTCTGGAAGAATTCTCCTGGACACCAATGTAACAAGATGAACCATGGACATTAAAAATGTTCACACCCTAATAGCTTTACTTTGTGTTTATTTGGGATTTCAAAATGCTTAATTGTTGGATTTAAATATCAGAATGATTTTCTTCAAAAAGAAAAGAGAAATCTACCATTATCATCCTTCATGTAAAAATAAATAGAAAAATACAATAAATAGCCACCATGGTCATCCTGGTGGTAACTACAAAAATATAATAGTAAGTGCTTACGAGAAACCGATTTGTTTCTAACAGTAATGGTAATGACAATAACTAACAATAACTTATAATCATGAGCACCATTTACTGTGTATTTGCTCATTGTTTTACATATAACACATCTAACTGTTACCACAACTCTCCATTTTACACAAGGCAACAGAGGCACAGAGGTTAAGAAAAACATCTAATATGGCTTATAAGAGGTTGAGAATTTGAACCAAGGTTAGCGTGATGTTAAAGCCAAGAATCCCAGCAATCTGAATTACAGGCAATCTGTACTGTTATGCGCCGTCATGCTTTTCACATTCCATGCCCTTGACCAGGAGTAATCTTTCCTCCCTCTCACCTGTGATCCAAATCCTACTCGTTGGCCAAGGATTCACTTTGTGTTCTCCCAGTCTTACTGGATAGTAACCCATCCAAAAGGAGCCAGATGATCATATTTTCGTAGTTGTTGTTAGGTGCCATCGAGTCATTTCCAACTCATAGCAACCCTGTGCACAACAGAACAAAACACTGCCCAGTCTTGTACCAGCCTCAATTGTTGCTACGTTTGAGCCCATCATTGCAGTCACTGTGTCAATTCATCTTGTTGAGGGTCTCTCTCTTTTTCACTGGCCCTCTACTAAGCACAGTGTCCTTCTCCAAGGATTGGTCCCTCCTGATAACATGTCAAAATTACATGAAACAAAGTCTCACCATTCTCATTTCTTAGGAGCATTCTAGAAGCATATCTTCCAAGACAGATTTGCTTCTGCCAAAAACCGAAAAAAACAAACTCACTGCCATGGAGTCAGATCTGACTCACAGCGACCCCTCCTTGAGTTTCTGAGGTGGTGTCTCTACGGAAGTAGATTGCCCAATCTCCCTTCCAAGGAGTGGCTGGTGGGTTTGAACTGCCAGCTTTCTCTGGTTAGCAGTCAAATGTCTTAGGCCAGCACATGGTGTATTCAATATTCTTCATCAACACCATAATTCAAAGAGACATCCATTCTTCTTCGATCTTCCTTATTCATTGTTCAGCTTTCCCATGCATATGGAGCAATTTAAAATACCATGGCTTGGATCAGATCCACCTTGGTTCTCCAAGTGACATCTTTGCTTCTTAACGCTTTAAAGAAGTCTTTTGTAGCATATTTTCTCAATGCAATATGTTACTTGATTTCTTAACTCCTGCTTCCATGGGCATTGAATGTGGATTCAAGTAAAATTAAATCCTTGACAACTTCAATATTCTCTGCATTTATCATGATGGTTCTTATTGGTCCAGTTGTGAAGAGTTTTGTTTTCTTTATGTTGAGGTGTAATAGTCTTCCATCTTCAATGTAAGTGTTTCAAGTCCTCTTTGCTTTTAGTAAGCAACGTAGACTTATTAAAAAGATACGTAGATACTGAATGATTTCTGGCTTAGTTTACAAGCAGGGCAGGTGAATGGCAGCAGAAACTACAGACCTTTGATTCTCATCTAAAAACCCCAAATAGCAGTGACATCATCCACATACCTTGTTTTCAAATTCCTTTGAGGCCAACTTATAATGCTGAATTATGGTGCCAAATGTCTCTGAACTTTTGGAGGCAAAGAGCAGCATGTGATTCAGGATATTCAGTTCATGAATCAGATTTCTATTCTGAAATCACAAAGAAAACAGTCATTCTGCACATACATACAACCACCCCAGCTACATTTTCCCAGAGGCCTTTTGCTCACTTACCTCAAAGTTGTATTCAATAACAAAACTTGTGAGGTGTTGTTTAATGACTTGGTTGAGGGCATTCTCGTTGGTATTGTCATTAATAAGCTCCTGGCGATTCACAACTCTTCCCTGGAACAAAAAGAATATATATATATGAAAGGAAGTAATTTTCCTGATGTAGGCATTTAATGTATATAAAGGGCACAATTTTCCTTTTGGATAAAAGCATTGAGAAACTATGGTGTGTGTAATCCATAACGTAGGTGCTTGATAAATGTGAATACTGGTGTGTGGACAGCTATGAAAATCTCTTAGATCTCCAACCAAAGGGAGTGTCATTTACTGACAGCCTCAGGTGCTGCGCTCTGGAATCCATTACCTTATTTGTACTAAGGTCATGCTTCTCACATGCTGCTCCCAGCCAATGACTGAATGCACCAGAGACTAAAGTAAGCCCATTTCTGAGAGATGTGGAACTTCTCTGATGGATAACTTTGCTTAATATTCTTAGACCTCCACTGTAGTCTATAACTCTTCCCCCCAACTTTCCTTCCTTCAAAAAAGTCAGTCCTACATCAGGATCAGATGGCTCTCGGAGTCTCCCAAAACTCCCTCCCTACTTTCCTTCACAGGTGTTTCTCCTAGTAAATCGTTTACAAGTCCAAATCTTCTTGGTGATTGCTTCTCAGAAGGACCAGGGCTGACACAGAGAATGATACAGTTCTCAGTAGCCTAGATCAAAGTCTGAGGGAAAGGAGAAAGAAGCAGCTATCTCTTGATTTCTCTGTATTTCATCACCTATTCATCCACCCTAGTTCAAACTTTTCATCTGGACTCCTGAAGCAGCCTCCTACTGCCCTTCCAATTTCTCCCCTTGCTTCTTTCCAAATCACTCCTCTCACTTTAGCCAAATTGAAGTTGCTTAAACACAAATCTTATCAGGTCTTTCTATTGTTTAAAATACTTTGTAGGCCCGTCATTATCCTCTAAAGTCCAAATGTTTTGCTGCTCATAGCAATAGTAGCAATACTAAAAAGACTGAGAGCTCACATTATGCCAACTACCATCTAAGCATGTTATATGCACTAACTCAACCTCCCCATTTTACAGATGAAGAAACTGAGGTACAGAGAAGTAAATTAACTTGGCCAAGTTTGCTAAGTCAGTAAGATATGAAGCCAAGATTCAAATACAAGCAGTCTGACTCTCTAAAGTCTATACTATTGACCATTAAAATATGTCAAATTCCTTACAAGTATATTTTCCAAGTTTGTTATTTGTCTTTTGATTTTGGAATGGGCTTTATTCTTCAGAGCTTTTCAGTGTTTATATGATGCAAATGTGTCAATATTTTCTTTTCGTGGTTTCTGGAGCTTACGTCATGCTTATAAAGGGGAATCTCTACTGCAAAGTTGTTGTTGTTATATGCCATCGAGAAAATAAAAAAGCTCTCTTATGTCATTTTCTGCTCTTTCTATGGTTGCATATTTTGTACTTTGAAACCAGGAATCTATCTGGAATTCAGTTTGGTGTAATATGTGATGTATGGATCAAGCTTCAGGCTGTGTTTTGGTTTTTCACCAGATCACTAACCAATTGTCTTATCATTATTCATTGAATTATCCACATTTCCCCCACTGGTCTAAAATACTACCTTTATTGTATACTAAATTCCCATAACTATTTTAACCTATTCTGGACTCTATACTGTTGATTAAAAACTCAAATCAGATTACTTTATTCACCAGCTTAAAACTTTTCATTGACTTTCATGGACCATTTAAAAAAAAAAATAAGGGTCCAGAGCCTTTGCTTGAAAGTCAGCCAGATCTGGGTATCACTCCACCTGTGTCTTCTGTGGCCTTGGGCAAATATCCTAACCTCTCTGAGACATATCTAAAAATAATATGACTACTGTAAGGACATGGCTTTGTGTGGTAAGGAAATAAGACATATCACAGGAACCAGAAAACCATAGTAACTGGAGCAGCACTACCCAATAGAATTTCTGTGATAGTAAAAATATTCTCTAAATTTTTGCTGTCTAATAAGGAACCATATGCCACATTTAAGCACTTGAAATGTGGCCTGTGTAATCGAGGCATTACATGTAGTCAATTTTAAGTTAAATAGCCACATGTGGTGGTGGTTGTTATTAGCTTCTTTTGGGTAGTCCCAACTCGGGGCAACCCCGTACACAATGGAAGGAAATGCTGCCTGGTCCTGCATCATCCCCATGATTGATTACAGATTGGACAATGTTCCACTGTGATCCATAGAGTTTCTTTGGGTTGCCATATTGGACAAAACAATTCTAGAGCCCAGAGAGGGAGGAAAAGGAAGGTATGCAATGAGGATGAAGAACAGTAGGGCCTAGGGTGTGAAAGGCCTTGCAGGCCTCATTAAAGATTAGAATCTATCCTAAGACTAATAGGATGACACTAAAGGGCTTTCAATGGGGAGAGGGAAGATATATGCTCAGATTTGCATTTTGGGAAATTGCTCTTTAGAAGACAAGAGAGAATGTGACAGACCATTTGATAGCTGTTGCAGTAGAGGCTATGGGAGAAGACAATCACTTGATCTAGGACAGTAGCATTAGAGATAGAGATAAATGGGTGGACTCAAGGAATATTTTGGATACAAAGCCAATATGATTGGGGTGATGAATTGATTATAATGGATGAGAGAGAGGAAAGTGTTAGAATGATGACTAGGTGTTGATAAACTGGAAGGAAGAGACGGTGATGCCATTCATTGAGAGAGAAAAGCCCTGAAGAGGACTAGAAAGGGAAATTAAGATTTTAGGCTCAGCCATGCTGAGACATCTGGGGATGGGTATAAATACCTGACATTAGAGAAGGCTGACTGGAGAAGGACACTTGTAAGTCATAGATGTATAGATGGTAACTGCAGATGGTGATTGAATGAGAGAGCACGGACCACAAGAAAAAAAAGGGCTTAGGATTGAGCCTGGATAAGCAACATTTTACTGGTTAAAGAAAGGAAAAACTTACAGTGGAGAATGGTTAGAAAGGTGGGAAACACCAGAAGGCTGTGACTTCAAAGAAGCAAACTAGTCCAAAGCTGTCTAGTTCACAAGTGGCAGAACTAGATTTTGAACCCAAAGCCCATATACTTCTCACTGCACTGAACTAGAGATCTCCTAGGAAATGGGTCAAAGTCCTACCTTTTTGAACACCAGGACACTGTCGAGGGTGACGTGGAAACGCCCAATGGCATTGGAAATAGTTATCACTCCAAAAGTTAGCTCTGGAAAATCTTTGATCACTTCATAGAACAATTCTGCTACTTCTTCCTCTAAATCCTGTTTGGGGAAAGGATATTTGGTAAGGCTCTGGCAGAAAAGCAAAATTTTGTCTTATTTAAGGTGAAGGTGGAAATAGTGTCCAATTTGTCTCCCCACCTTTCCAAGTTATAGGGTTTTGCTTGGTCACCTAAACCGCCTTTCATGGGTGTTTAATACTCAGAATGCTTCTCTGGCTATGACTAAGACCACAGAGATCAAAACAGAGAACTGATAAACTTGAACTTTTCTAATTATTAGAGTGAAGGGTGTTCTAATTCTGAGGTTAACATTTTCTCCATAATTGCTTTCAGATGAGGCAATTGGTTTGACCACATATAGTAACGAATATGAACTTAATATCAAGATATAGCTGTAGTGTCAGACTTTATTCTTTAATTTACAAAAAAAAAAAAGAAAGAAAGAAAAGAAAAAAACTGGGAGAAAAAACACTGTCAGAGAATGGAAAGGGGAGACTCAGACTCTACCCATGTATAAATGCAACTTGAATGTTCTCACTTCCACTGAGAGAAGTATCATTGAAGTTACACCAAAAGAGTTAAAACACAAAAGAAACTCATTCTCCAAAAGCAAAAAATAATTTGTGTATCAGTACATAAGATGAAATCA